GAAAATATTTTAAAAAGGGAACTGGGTACTGCAATGCCATATGGATGCAATGATAACATTGATACATTTGACGCGCTTGAGTTTACATCTTCAGCGTTGGACTTTATATCGACAGCACTGAACTTTACATCTATATAGCGCTAGGCTCTAGATCTCCAGCGCTGAACTTTTGATCTCCAGTGTTGGATTTTACATCCGAAGCGCTGGACTTTACATCTTCGTCGCTTGACCTCAAATCTATTGCGCTAGACTTTAAACCACAACTCTTTATCTATATTGCACCAACATGGCTCCGTACGTTAAGGCAATCATGCATAATTGCTTAAAATATGAAATGGAAAATAATGGTCCAAAAACGTTATTTATTCTAGATAGATGAGGTTCTAGAATATAAAGAATTAGGTCGTTCTATTTTTTTTTTTCATATAATAAGCTACAACATAAATTTTTAAAAACCCGAGCAAACCAGAATGAAAACACACAGACACAAAACATATCGACAATGAATTTTTCAACATACACGCACTTTGACGCCTACATTTGACATAGAATATTGTTTTATCTAGCCTTCAATGCCCCATTCTACGAAATTTTAATAAACCTGAAACTCAGGACATAATATTAAAACCTAGAGGGACTTCATTTATTTCATTAATTTCGATAGTAAACCAGACAAAGTACATTCATAAAAAAAAGAACTTTTTACCCAATTTTCCTAAATTAAAATGTACTTTTTTAAATAAACTTTTTTTTTACAAAAGATTCAATAAACGAATTACTACGAAGTATATATATTACTTTTAGGAAAAAACGATGTAAGATTAACCAAATAAGACATTTTCGTCCCTTACCGTATTTTAAAAGGACAAGTCATTAATAAATGGTAAAACCTTTTTTTTTAGATCAATGCAATCAATTTAATCTATTCCATTCTCCTGAAACCCCCTTCAACACTAAACTCCCTTCTCTAACCTAAAATGGAATTTTATCAAAATATAAAAATGTTTAAATTCTAATGTGTGTTTTTTCTTTCTCTCATTAAAACAACAGATGTTGGTATTCTTTGACTCCCAGACACACAAAGTATACGATTGTTTAATACATAACATGTAAACATTTCAAAGATCTGTTAGATTAAAATCTAAGTTTCTTTCATTTTGCAATAGTAATAAAACATTTGACTTTTCTACCCTGTAAATAATTATTCCTTATTCCAAACTAAAAGACAACTTGAAAGAAGTGGCCCTGCTTTGGTTCGTAACAAAGAATAGACAACTTAGATACACATATCTTGTCTTAGAAAAAGAGAGGCGAAAGATACCAAAGGGATATTCAAACTCATAAGTCGAAAATAAACTGACAACGCCATGGTTGGAAAATGAAAAAGACAAACAGACAATCAATAGTACACAAAACACCACAAAGAAAACTAAAGACTGAGGAATACAAACCCCACCAAAAACTGGGGGTGATCTCAGGTGCTCCGGAAGGGTAAGAAGATCATGCTCCACATATGGCACCCGTCGTGTTGCTCATTTTAGTACAAACCAGGTAATAAGTCTAAATTGGTATGTCACATTCGGGGAAAAGGGGACGGGATTGTAGTTAGGACATTTGAAACATATCTGCTATAATCTGTGAATCGAATATTCCATAACGGTCAACCAACTCGTGATGGCGTCCGTAAAATTTACGAAGGGATGATTTCAACTTCACCACTTGGAATTCTTGTTTTAATAGCTTCCTTGTGAGCAGCAAATCTCTATTAAAGAAATCATGATAGGAAATACAAGCCCTGGAATATCGTATCAACTGGGAGATATATACTCCGTATGCAGGCGCTGCTGGAATGTTGCTACATAGAAATGGAAATTGGAAAGCTGAAATCATCTCTTTTGTCGTAAAGTTTTGTTTTCAACCGACCCTCATTGTCAATTTCTAGATGTAAGTCAAGATATCAGTCAAACTTAACTGTATCTGTTGTATCCTTTATCTCATGTCCGATGGGATAGATGCGTTTAAAAATTGAATTATTTAGTGAGAGAACATTGTCTATATAGCGGAATGTAAAATTAAAGGATACTGCTAACTTCTTTTCTTTCTTCCTTAGACGTTCCTGTAAGAAGTCAGCCTCATATGATACAAGGAAAAGTCGACAAGAAGTGGGGCACAGTTGGTTCCAATAGGAAGGGATAAATCCTACTTTATTTGCTGATTGACAACATATGTGTTACGTTTGGCATTTCCATGGGAACCTATTGTGCTCCTCTTCTTGCCGACTGAAAGAATTGGTCCTGCCTTGTTTCATAAAAAAGAAAAGACGACGTAGATACAAATGTCTTGTCTTAAGATGGAATAAATCCTACTTGATTTCCTGATTGACAACCTATGTGTTACGTTTGGAGGACGTGTTTTTTCAACAAACAATCGACATTTCCATGGGAACCAAATGTGCTCCTCTTCTTGCCGACTTGTTTCTTTATTGATATGAGGCTGACTTCATACAGGAGCATCTTAAGAAGAATGAAAAGAAGCTAGAATTATTAATTTATTTAAGGTTCCGTTATATAGATGATGTCCTCTCACTAAATAATTCAAAGTTCGGTGTCTATGTTGAACGCATCTATCCCATTGAACTTCAAATGAAAGATACAACAGCTACTGTTCAGTCTGCCTCATATTAACTTATCTAGAAATTGACAATGAGGGTCGATTAATAACAACACTTTACAACAAAAGAGATGATTTCCGCTTCCCAATTGTGAACTTTCCATTTCTATGTAGCAACGTTTTAGCAGAGCCTGCATATGGAGTATATATCTTCAGTTGATACGATATTGAAGAGCTTGCATTTCCTATCATGATTACCTTGATAGAGGGTTACTGCGTACAAGGAAGCTATTAAACCTAGAGTTTCAAGTTGTGAAGTTGAAATCACATTCCTTCGAAAACTTTATAGACGCCACGAGTTTGTTGACCGCTATGGAATATCTCTTACTCAAATGACGACGAATATGTTCCCATTATCACGTTCTCTTTTCCTAGACTGTAGCGGCGTACCGAATTAGATTTATCATCGTTTTTGTGCTTAAATGGTCAATACGAATGGTACCACATATGGACCAGGGTCTGTGTACCATTCAGGCGCACCCGAGATCACACCCGGTTTTTGTTGGGGTTTGGGTTGCTCAGTCTTTAGTATTCTATTTTGTATGGGTATTTTTTTACTGCTGTTTGTCTTTCGGTTGTTTTTCGTTTTTTGTCATGACATTGTCAGTTTGTTTTCGACTTATGATTTTGAATATCCCTTTGGTAACTTTCGCCCCCCTTATTATACAAATTTATACTGATTAATCATATCAAAAAAATGTTTTGCTTTGTTCACTGTTTATAATAATGGCTCTTTTTATTTAACCCAAATTAAAGATCTAAAAGTGGGGATCTGAGGTTACCGATTGATTAATTGTTGGTGTTTAACGCCACTTTCAGCTTCTTGGCTTAAACGCTGCGGCCAGTTTGTATTGGTGTAGGAAGCCGGAGTGTCCTGGGGAAAACCACAGACTTTTGGTAGGAAAACCGGCAATCCTAGTCAATTAAGATCGGAGCTCATGTCGATGGTAAATTAGATGGCGTCTAGTACCGGTATAATATACGCACGAAGCACTGATATATGAAAATTAGTCCGTCCATTGCTTACAGTTTCTATTGGACTGTTTGAATATACGTTTTAGTATGTTATAAATCAATGATAAAAATTTAAGTCAAATCGGTGAACATGAATTCTACAGCTGATGCCCCATTTAGGATGAAAAAATAGAGATTATGGCAATTAATGACACAGAACCGAAAAGACATACAATGTATAAGCATTTAGATTTTTTCCTTTTTTTCTTTAATCTCATGAAATATGGAAAGCAAGTGTAAAGTTTCTGTAAAATGCACCCAACCATCCTTTTTTTTTTTGGCACGTAATTATAGATGTTATGATATTTAACCCGACTTCTGTCATTGCATTTTGTCAACCCTTTATTATTTTTATAAGCTTTCGGCATGACGTTTCACTATTTTTATTCCTTGTACTTTGTGTACAATCACGATCATCTATAATAATTTTCACAACTAGACGAAAAAGCAGTATGTGGGGTATACGTCACATAGCTATAGCCTGGTTTAATAAACAATTATGACATGTTATATAATGCGGGGTGGAGGTGGCATTGGCGGTGGGGGGATGACTTGCGAAATTTATGTTTGATTGTACAATGAATATACAATTTACGTTATGTACAAATTTATTAAGAAAACAAGCTCGATGACCCAAATATTTCTTTTATTTTCCTGAAATATTTAATGAAAACTGTCTCTTTTCTAATTTTTTATTTCCTTTAATTGTATATTTCTGTTATATAACCTTTACCTGTTTACGAGATAAGAGAATTGTGCACTACCTGTAGCTTGAAAATAAACTCGGTGACGTGGAATGATTCTTTAATATTTAGTCTATAAACCATCGAACTACTTTAACATAAAAATGAATATAAATGATCACGACAATTACATCTAAAAAGATCAATTTTACACTTTTTAATTTTACTAAATTATGTCTACCTTATTAAGATTTCCTAATTAGTATTATGCGGTAATTTGATAAAGGGTACAATGATTAACTTGCATTCAAACTTGTTATCTCTTCAAGTTCAAAGTAGTTAGATATACTATACTATGGTCGAAATATAAACTTTGATAATTTCAATGTGTTTGTATTTACATTACACGAATATCAATACCAGATGAATTTGCTTTTAAAAGAAATATTTCAAATGGTTCAATACTGCTATTGAAAACAGACTTTTAATTCTATGTAAACTTTTCACTTGATATAAGTTTAAAAGAAACACTGTTCCGATCAATTCTTTTCTATGGTTAATACATTTAAATGATATAGTTGTCCCGTCGTTTTGTCTTTATATGAATAAAACAAACATTAAAATATATGCTAAACTGAACATAATTTGATTTTCTTATACAGCGAATGCACTTTTATTCTAAAATCCTTCAAAATTATAAACTTCAAGTTTATTTGAAGTCTTATAGGATATTATGAATTTGATATATTGAAAAAGATGGGTGTAAAACTTAAACGACGTGATATAGTAAAATTAGTGACTTGTAAGATATGTGAACGTTCAATGACTAAACCCAAATGTCTGAATTGTATGCATTCATTTTGTGAACAGTGTTTATCTGCATATATTATCAAGTTAGTTGAGAGCGAGGGAAAATCTTTACAATGTTTTAAATGTCCGTCTTGCCAAGCAGATAATAAAATTCCCGATACGTCCTTGCCGATCGAATCGTGGGTACGTTTCTTTTCTCCAAGTGCTATCGTTACTTTTCTCTTGGAGAAAATGTCGTTGGAAAATTCTCAGGAGTGTGACCCTTGTAAACGAGGTGACATCACGGTAGATGCTACGTCATGGTGCAAAGATTGCGGTGAAGCTCTGTGCGAAAACTGTGCTAGTTACCACACTAAAGTCAAAATGCTTATGGATCATACAATTGTTACATTAGACGAAATGCGAAAACAACCAAAACAGATTGCTGACACTGACGAATTGTGCTCTCAACATGGTGGAAAATATGTAGAAGCGTTTTGTGACGATCATGATGCTATATGTTGCGTCGAGTGCATAACAGAAAATCACAGACAGTGCAAAATGGTCCGTACTTTAGAACAGGCTTCTCTGGGTATCAAAACAAGATTGGATCCGTTAGTTTATAGAATGAATGAATTAGAAAAACAAGCTGTTTCCGTTGTTGAAGACAGGAAAACCAACATGGAAGACCTCTTGAAACAAAAGGAAGACATTCTTACTGAAGTCAATAAAACAAGGACAGACATGCAACGCTACTTTGAGACACTGGAAACAAAACTGAAAGAAGAAATAGCACAAACACACGAGTCGTTGTCCGAAGAACTTCAACTGCAGGCTCGGAATTTCGAACATATATTTAACAATTGCGATAATGGAAAAAGAGTTCTTACTGCCTCAGTAGATTATGGATCTGACAGAGATATCTTCATTACTGCTTTCAAACTCAGAAAACAATGTGAACTTCACGAACTTTACATCAGATCACAAAGTGAGAACATTTTACGTCATGACTATAGCTTACATATGAATGAAATAATAAAAACATTCACAGATCAAATTAAAAGCATGGGAAACGTGTCAATAGAACAAAAATCAACCAACATAGTCCCTTCATTCTACAAAGATATGCACGTTTCAGTGATTGCAAATATGTCGGGCAAATCTTGGTCTGATACTGGGCATTGTTGGTTTACAGGTGGGATATTCTTACAGGGTGGTTTAATCGTAATGGCGGATTACCGCAACCGGAAGTTGAAGTGCTTCAATACGACATATACGATGACAAACGAACTTGTTCTAGAGGATAATCCATGGGATGTATGCTTTTTAGAAAGTGAAGACTTAGAAGGTGACACTATGTTGGTAACCTTTCCTAATGATTCAAATGCGAAAGTCGTAAAGATAGACAGTGGAGGGAAGATGGTTCTACAAGATGACGAGTATGAAATTGGCAGTGGTGGTCATGGCTTGCACAGAAATGGGGATCGTATCTATATAGCTTGTTCAAATGAGATTAGGATGCTAAGTTTGAAAACAAAATCTATTTCGACTATGCCTGTCGGAAATCGAGGAGCGAGATATGTGCTTAGTACAAAAGCGTCAAGCATTTGTTATTCTACAAAGGCTTCCGTCACATGTCATGATAAGAAAGGACAAGAAATATTCCGATATAAAGACCCGGAACTCCGTTCTCCACGTGGGATAGCAGAAGACGCAGAGGGGAATATTTATGTGTGTGGAATCGATTCAAATAATGTGCATCAGCTTCTTCCAGACGGTACATTTGTCAAAATTGTCCTTTCAGGCAAGGATGATATATATAATCCGTACGCAATTCTATTCCAACAGAACAACACACGATTTATTGTTACTCAAATGGACTCTGATATAGTCAAAGTTTATGAACTTGTCACTATGTGGTAGACATTCTTAAGTGTATATTACAACATGGGCGAAAAAGCTTTGATGCTCATCAACGTTTTCCTTTGTTGAAGTTTCAAGAGTATAATGTATAAATGTACTGAAACATTTCATCAAGACAGTAAAGTATAATAAGTAATCGTATTTATATTATCAATCATTTTTACGAGTTGTTTTCTCCCTTAAACGTGACGGTGAAACTTTCAGTGGTATCACAAAGAATTTACATATTGATACAAACATAGAACAGGTTATCAGAGCCGAAATAAATCTTCAAAAATTCCTAGACCGGCTAAATTTTTCTGCGGATATGTTACAGGTTACATTTGTTTTGTATCTTTAAGAGTTTCCGCGATGGAATTCAGGAAAGAAACAGGTTTTATATATATGTTTACACTAGTCATTTTGGGGCCCTTTATAGCTTGCTGTTCGGTGTGAGCCAAGGCTCCGTGTTGAAGGCCGTACTTTGACCTATAATTGATTTAATTTTTATACATTGTGACTAGGATGGAGAGTTGTCTCATTGGCACTCTTTCCACATCTTCTTATTTATATTTATATCTATATATGCATTAAAGTTGGTACACGGCAAATAACCTGTGTAAAGTTTTTGATATATTAAAAATAAACCTTTTAATGTCATATGCACACTATTTGTAAGTCATATTTCATTAGGCTTCTTAAAAGGGGGTTCTTGTTCCATAAAGCTTTTTCAAATAACTATAATCAGTCTATAGAAAGTGCGAATCGAGAAAACCGTTTCTTATGTGGCGTAGTGATATTTTCTTTTGTAAATGAGATGCATTGTGGGGAAATCTCAGACGAATGTTGACATTTATAGGAATAAAAGAAAATTCATCGTAAAAAACTTGTTTATTCTTTTTAAAACATAGACGTATTTAACAGGACAAACGTATTTACAATTTGCCATGTATTTTGAACATTTTATCCCAAGTATGTTTTATTTATACGAGTAAATATGCATTTGCATTAAATAAAACCTATTTGCACGATCTATAATTTTTAGGTTTCCAAATACTTTGACAATGGTGTACCAAAGACAGTGGAATGGCCATTGAACGTATTCCTTTGCATTCTACGCCATAATCGCTTGTAATAGGTTAAAATGCATTTTTTTCTTATATGAGTGCGACTTTTTTTTAATAGAATAGCTATATGCTTTTATTATGAAAAACTTTTCAAATGCGATATTTTTCTAACAGAAATGCGATACTCTTTTCATATGAAAAAAATACCATAATATGGCACAATAAATCCAAAAAGAGTAGAAACATGGACAGTTATTCTTGACAGGTTCGATGGTACAGTCAAAAAATCACTGAAATTTCGTATAGATGATGTACGTACATAATTAACCAATTATACGCTTATAAAGAAGTAGACACGATGTTCAATATCCCCTGCTCGTCGATCAGTTTTGGGTTTTCAAATCAATATTGCACAGTATTTACCACCTTCCAATTTCCGATGAAAACAAAATCTGGCTAGTGTCAGTCTAGGATGATAAAGTGTTGACACATATATATGTATCATTTGTCATGCCTATGTGTAATTTTGATAGTTAAATGCAGTGGTTGAAATTAAAATGAAAATACTTTATCATGCATTGATTATGCAACACATTCAAAATCAATGAAACATGACTGAAGTTGCAGGGCCAAATAATCTTCCTGGAAAAAATGAGATATGATAATGCTGTTACAACTGTGTATCAAATATCATTGACCTATTGTGAATGGTTCTCCTTAAACTGACCTTATCAAAAACTTTAACTGTAAGCGATGCAAAACATTCGCAGTCAATGAACCATCTTTTAGGGGGCGAGACCGTATAATATCAATAAAAATATGCCAATGCTAATACAAATGCATACCAAATATCTATAACAGGGGTTTTCGGCGTTCCTGTTATATTAAGAATACGAGAGAAAAACTCACTGGCTAAAGTCAACAAAACTATTATTAAAGATTTTGAAAAAGCCCTCGACACAGCCCCACAAGAACTACTTAAATCAAAATTAAACAGTTAGTGGATATCAAGTAAAACACTATGTTAGATTGACTCTTTCCAATGATACTGCAAGCACAGAGTCATGATAAATTCGACAAAATCCACTGGTCCATCTCAAGGAACTGTCCTGGTTCCTGTGTTATTTAGTCTACATATCAATGATATCTTGGATAATCGGGTGTTTATTCAGTAGAAACATACAAAACGATCAGATGGGTATTGTAAAAAAAAAGTATCGTTTTCGTCATAAAAAAATAAATAAAAAATAGCAGAAACAGAAAATAACGATATTTTTAGTTATCTTGATAGAAGACTGCTTTAAAATCTATACAATATAAATAAGAGTAACTTTCAATTTTCAACATTACTTTAGCATGATTGAATATAAATACATGTCTACGTTAATGTTTTCAATTATAGTAATGCTTAAAAAATTATGCTGAATGAGTGACAATATTTTCAGAGACGAATTAAGCGGCATCATATTCAAAACACTGTGGACAGGTTGATTTTTAGAAATCCTAGGACATTACTACAACTAGCTTGAAAGGGGCACTGCGCAAATCCTAGGACATGACTAGAGCTAGCTTGAAAGGGGCACTGCGCAAATCCTAGGACATGACTACAGCTAGCTTGTTAAGGGCACTGCACAAATTGAATATCCATGTACTGTTTTCCCGCAGGTTTTTTCACACCAATTCGTATTTATTGATACTAAAGACTAGGAGAGCATATGGTAATGATTTCTTGATGTTGATACCAACAATGTACTTCAGTATCGTGTGAGAAAGGCTTAAGTTTGTTAAACGAGTGATTTTGTCAAGTGTTAAATAAAATTCTAATATGACGTGCTTCTTTCGCTTTGTAAACAACACCGTGATAAAATTCTCGATATATCTATACTTAGTGCAGACTCAGAGATGTGCATATTGGTGGCTGTTACTATTTACCTCCCACGTTAATCCACATGTATTGTAACCTATGTGCAAACACTATGTCGATTTCTTTGTGTCCAAATTGAAATTGAAAAAGAAACTACAGAACCGTTATTCCTATTATATTGCATAACAAAAATAATTAATGCACAAGAGCTTAAAAAATGTATCAAATCAAAATAAAATAAAACTCCGCCAAATTTCATGAATGATCTTGGCGCATTACCGTCATGTCATAACATGACGTCATACGAATGAAAACTCTAAAGCTTAATGTTTTCCGTTACGTTTACTCCCTAAGTTCGGATAATATTGCATTAAAATGGAGTTTTGAGGTAGGTGTTGTTTCATTTTCTATTCCATTGCATTATTTGCACATTTGTGGATTTCAGCAAGTCAACATGGCGGCTCACTCCTTAGTTACGACATGTCAACTCTGGATTTGACAGTAAATAGTAGCTTACGAAAAATAAATGTTTGGGTTAAGAACTATGAGAATTGAACAAATTTTTTCTACTGCTTATTTGAGAAATAATTCATGTAAGACTTAGATTTATATGAAATTTGTAGCTTTTATCTTACAGGGGGTAAAATAGAACAGCCATACACACGGCAATCTTACGTTCGCGTCCGTTTTTAAATTACCGTATTTGTCCTATTAGAATCGAAATAAAGTGTATCTAAGTTTCTATGTCTAGTTCCCAGGTTCCCATATCTGTTGGTTGTCCATACTTGATTGTCCCATCGTGTTTCTTTTACGCCTTCTTTTCATAATACAAGAAAGGATAGCAGGAAAATCACCAATGCAGAACAACACAACAATATACACCACATCACTAACCCTAATTCAAAGCAATTAAAAAAGAAACAAATAAAAAAATGATGGAAAGCATTACCCCTAAACTTGAATTACTCCACAACCTATCTAGAATCGATGCGAATGCCCATCGTTTTAGTCTGTATGTAGATTAACTCTGTGTTGTTTTGTTACTATCTTATTGATGTTTATCCCAAATATCTTTTTCTTTATTTTTTTTCACGTTCATAGTCTTAAGCACAAAAGTAGAATATAAAATGAATGATTCAATGGAACAATTGCTAGTGTTAACGCAATTAAATTAGGTAAAATGCATGCCCTTATCAAATAACTAGGCTCATCATCTCCTGTCATTTATTTCAATACTTTATGCTTTCAAATTTTTTCTCAAATTTATTTATCTGTTTTTCTTTCTTGTAAACATGTGATATTCAATATAAAACATGCCTACATGTATGAACAAAAATAACCAAAAAGAAAACATGTAAATTCTTATTGTTTCCGTTTTCCGTTTCCGTTCCTTATTCCGTTTCCGCCTTTTAGCAACACCCTTTTTAACGGACTATTAAGGATGTAATAAGGTGAATTTAAAAAAAAATAAGAATTTAAAATTAATACTATAAGTCAGAAGAGCATTAGTTAAGAAACAAAATAAGCTAAAAATAACGATAGGTTAAGGAACTCTTTTTTGAGAAATTTGATTTTTAAAAAATGGCGGGAAAAGGCTGACTCAGACTTTTACCATATATTTAGCATTGGGATTATTTTTGGTCTCAAATCGTTAGAAAAAAATCTTGAATCTGCTTAAATTTTGGTAATGACCTTTTTATGAGCTATTAAGGTCTTTTATGAAAAGAAAAGTGGGTGATATGGGGCAAAATATTTTACCCTGTATCGTAGGAAAAAACCCAAGGAGTCCGAACATCTGACACAAATTCCTAAACCTGACTGGACTACATCCTTAAACTATATTCTGACACATATAACAACACAGCACCATTGATATGTTTTGTGTTGGGAAGTCTGAAATGACGATCACAAATTGCATATAAATAACAGTTAAAAAAATATTAATTTCAGATTTCATTAAAAATATTCAAAAGTGAATTTGTTTAGACCATTACATGTACCTGCAAGGTTTGGTTAATAAATTTTTAGGAACAGAATAATTTTCCAAGTTGATCCCTCTGAATCCTAAACAACATTTTCATTGGGATCAATCAAACAAACAATAAGGTACTCAGAAAACTTACAAACCACAAATATTGCCTTTTAAACAATTAAGTGCATTTTGCAATACTTCTCCAAAACCTAAAATACTTTTTATTTGCACAGGAAATTTATATCTCACTTAGGATAATATATCCAAAATGATTTATTTTATTCCATTTCAGTGAATGGTCCTAACCAGTTAAATGGTAGCAAATAAGATATAAATCACAAGCTACATATTTGTTTTTTTATCAGTATTTATCGAACTTAGCAGTGTTCTGAGGGAAATACTAAAGATACCAGACTTAGTTTAATTTAGTATACCAAATGCAGGTTGAGGATAATAGGATTCAGAGGGATCAACTTGAAAATTCTCAATCTTATTCAACTACAAAATACAAGACTTATCACCGACACTAAAATCAAAATAAATTAAAAGCCATTTTAATTTTTGTTTCTAAATTTCCAAAATGTCTATTGTATTAGGCCATTTAAGGGCTCCAAGGGTTGTAAATGACTTATATATAAAGTCAATGCACAAGCTTGATTTTCCCAAATTTTCTTGGAGTAATGTTCCTATGCCATTTGTCAGAATGAAATGGCATATTACAGGGAACTTCTGCCATATTTGAATTATTTCTTCCTTGAAATCTTGTATTATTGTTCAGACAAAGTTGAAACAAACAAAGGGGCATAATAGCTGTCAAATTCATGTTCACCGATTTGACTCAAATTCTCATATTTGATTTACAATATACTAAAACATATATATCCAAATAATAAAAAGTCTAAGGTAAACAATTTACGATGCATGGACTCGATAATATACATCAGCATTTCGTGTATAATTTAGTGTAGACACCATCTAATTAACCATCGAGGTGACCTTCGGAGACTGCCGACGGTCATATAACCTGATATAAACATGAATATAGATATAAATAGATAGCAAACACGTGCAATTGGATTTTTCTAGGTCTGTTTGATTTCATATTATAGGTTAAAAGTGTTAATCATCGTTTTTACCTGTATAAGAATGAGTTTTAGTCAATCGACTCAGTCAACCAAATGGTTCATTCTTGTTTTACTTAATATGGACATTCTTTTCCTTTAATAGATGAATACGCCTAGTTTATGCACCATCTTTAGCACAGGGGTTAAATTGATGGTCACATGAATATGGTTCAATTAGGTCGAATTATTCACTTTTTCACTTTTATTAAAGACTGAACAAAAAAAAAATCATATTTTATGTTTTTTCATATATCTCGTAGCTAATGCCCTTTTAACGACCTCTTGCAATACTTGGCATAACATATTGATTTTATTTTTGTTAAATACATATTTTCTAAATGGAGCATCCATGTATTTAACTTGAATCAAATATATAGGTTCAATGGCTGAAAAGGATGACTGACATCAAATCTGTTATGCTTGTTTGCGAAATTTGCATTTGTGTAGGATAAAAAATCTTGAACTACAAAAGAAAGAGAAAACATAGTTAGCCGGCTATTTTTAATTGCTAGATATCTACATGTGTTGATACGAAGATTTAACTTAAATCTGTGTCCATTTTGCCTTCTGAAACTACAGAACATGATTTCCTTAATTTAGTAGTATGATCTTTTTCCTTTGAGTACTACACCTCCATATCCACCTCCGTATCCGCCTCCTAGGCCCCATCCTCCGTATCCACCTCCTAGACCCCATCCTCCATATCCACCTCCTTTGCCCCATCCACCATATCCACCTCCTAGACCCCATCCGCCATATCCACCTCCTAGGCCCCATCCACCATATCCACCTCCTAGACCCCATCCACCATATCCACCTCCTAGACCCCATCCTCCATATACACCTCCTTTGCCCCATCCATATCCACCTCCTAGGCCCCATCCATTCCAGCCTTTACCTACTCCCCAAACTGGTCCTCCCCAGCTCCAACCACCGCCCCATCCACCTAGGCCTCCATATCCACCTCCCCATCCACCTAGCCCTCCATATCCACCTCCATATCTACCACCGTATCCACCACAGCCTTTACCCCAACATTTGCCGTAAGAGGCATTAGTGCATACAGCTGCCAGTAGTAAACCTAGAGCAATGGAGAGCTTCATGTTGTATCTGAAAATACATATATATAATTTGATTTTGTTGGTACAACTTCTATTCATTTAAAGTTGGTGTTTTAAGGATGATATAATCTTTGTGTTATGACATTATGTAAGTGACTTTGGTTGTGTTTTTTTTATATAATCTTTTGTTAAGGAACAAATAAACAGGAAAGAGTATTCTTCATGTTAGTATGAATAAATGGAGATGAGGGGTATACATTGATGAGACAGCAACCCAATGACACAAATAACCAACAGACATCAAGAGAGTAGTATCGATATCCCCTTAGAAATTTTGCAGTGAATATTAGCTAGGTAAAAGCAAATAAAAAATGAACATAAAAACTTAAATATAATGTATCAATATGAATGTTTTGTTCAATAAAATAAAGTATCTTTTGAACCTTATTAATTTTTGTTCTCCTCAGTAAAACTCAGAACTACCAGACTAGAATAACAAAACTAAAGCTTGGAAAGACTTCCCTTTGAATCCCCCTTCACATAAGTATATGCTTACTCTGTCAACCAAGGGGTTCAAAAGGAGGTCTGAACGTTGTTACACTAAATATAAATTTTCAAGTGCTAAATCACCTTTTTTTACTGAGAAATAGAAATTTATGTAGGAAAGTAATTTATAGATTTAAAAAGCAACATTTTGATTGCTTTTATTTTGAATAAACAAGCACATGAAATATCCCCCTTTTCCCCCTTTTTTTATAGAAAACTACAAGACACTTTAAAGGCCCTATGTTTCTATTGGAGATACTTAAATATAAATAAGAAGATGTGGTATGAGTGCCAATGAGACAACTATCCATCCAAGTCACAATGTGTAAAAAGTAGACAATTATAGGTCAAAGTACGGCCTTCAACACGGAGCCTTGGCTCACACCGAACAGCAAGCTATAAAGGTCCCCCAAATGACTAGTGTAAAACAATTCAAACAGGAGAACCAACGGTCTAATCTATATAGAAAACGAGAAACGAGAAACACTTATGAACTTATGCATGTTTTGATGAGGACTACTCATAGATTGTGTTAAAATCATACAAAAAAAGAATGAGCTTAGAACTGGTACTTTAAGTTATATAAATTTAGTATCAATTTTTGAAGAACAAAAAATCTATTAAAAAAAAAGGACCTACAACACTATAACACTTTTTTCTTTGAACTTCATGTGACCAAATGAATAAGCTACATTAAAATGCAAAGTATGGAGTTAGAACAGTTTAGTTCAGAATTTTTTTGTAGAATGCAGAAATCTCGTATTATAGTTGTAAAGGAAGATGGATCATTGCACCTGGATCTCAAATATGAAGCTATCATTATTTAATGAAAAGTGGACAGGACACAAAAAGACTCGTTAGACAATATAAGTAAATGAAAAGTTCAGTAAAAATCATTGAGATAATCATATTCAGTCATCTATAAGAACTTTTCAATACTTTTTATTACATGCACATAAGGTTGATTATATCAGGATTTGGAGTAAGTATGTAACTAGTATGTACTTTATATAATGCACAGTACTAGTGTGCAACAAAAGGTGGTCATTACGAAAGTTATGATCAAGTTCCTGTACAACAAAAGGTTGTCATTGAGTCAGTTATGATCAAGTTCCTGTACAACAAAAGGTGGTCATTGAGACAGTTATGATCAAGTTCCTGTACAACAAAAGGTGGTCATTGAGACAGTTATGATCAAGTTCCTATACAACAAAAGGTGGTCATTAAGACAGTTATGATCAAGTTCCTGTACAACAAAAGGTGGTCATTGAGACAGTTATGATCAAGTTCCTGTACAACAAAAGGTGGTCATTGAGACAGTTATGATCAAGTTCCTGTACAACAAAAGGTGGTTATTGAGACAGTTATGATCAAATTCCTGTACAACAAAAGGTGGTCATTAAGCAATCCTGGTCAGGATGGGTTTTCATGGGGAAAATTAAAAACATCTTTTCAGTTGAAAATAAAACGTGCAAAATCATAGTTGTTCATTTACTAATTTATGTTTCCAATTCATTACATATTATATGAATAGAAGTTCAAGTTGGTTGTTACATTTTTTTTTAAGTGTCAATGCATCTGAATAAAAAGAGTTTATAAATTTGTTTTCCTTCATATTTCATGAAATTTCAAACAAGGTGTGATCAGAATATTTACTCATCATTTCCAAACTGAAATAAGTTCTTATATTTTGAAACTCTCCATGGTCAATTTGAGTATTAACACACAGCTATTTAGATTTTTGTATTATAATCAATGATTCTGTAGGTTACTTTACTTTAAATAATACACGAGTTTCACAATATCAATTTAGTTTCATTAAAATTGGTTGTTTTTTAAACAGCTCATCATAAAATTGAAATTAATGAAATTGGATAAGATGATATGAAACGGTTGGTTAAACAGTATCATGAACAGGGAATAGTTTTGTGGTTGCATTTTTATCATCCGTATATGTATACCAAAAGTTAAAGTAGCCCCCTAGGAAAGGGCAATTTTTTAGTTTATGATAGGAGGCATAAGAATATAGTAATTTACAAAATTAGGATGAAAAATTTTGTCCTGCCTTTTTTTCCCCTCTATTCGGTCCTGCCTTTTTATTTTTCAATCTATTCGGTCCTGCCTCTTTTTTTTAGTTTATCCTGACATTTTTTTACATAAATTGTCATCCTGGCATTTTTTTTTGCAAATAATCTCATCCTGCCTTTTTTTTACTCAAAACTCCTGTCCTGCCTATTTTTTTCATATTTCATCCTATCCCCCCCCCCCCCTAAAAATCAAATGGTAGCTCCCTAATTTCAGATAAATCTGGATTATTTTTTAAGCATAAAACTTTAGCATGAAAATTAGAAGCATGATCCTGAATAAATTTGTCATATGTCATGGACAATTAATATGTTTCAATAAGATTACTTACCTTGTGTAAGATGGGAACGTTGTGCTCTCATCATTGTGCTGTAGGAGTATATATACTGGAAAATGCTATGTAAGATTGATGAGGAATATTTTTCAATTCATCAGAAATTGTCACAATTTTCCACAAAAAGAAAAAGGTCATCATTATATTGTTTTATGACTTTCATTGATGTTAACATGCATAAATATTCGCTCATTATAATGTCATTTATCATAAGTGATGAATTCCGTCTTTATTATGATAATATTTATCATAATTACCAATTAGGGTTATTCTAGCCCAGAATTTAAATTACATGTTAAGGTCACAAGGTTCAAAGGCTTCTCACAAATCGTTTGTTTTTTTGGAATCACAGAACTGTTTATAAAACAAAGAATTTTGATGACATGCTCATGAAAATGGACTCCGGTCAATTACTCATTGGGGTCAAGTTTTTTACATTCAATTTTGCAACCCTTATGGAAAAATAAACCCCTTTTTTTATAAGTCTTGTAGAGATTGAAATTTATCTTATATTAATATATATAGTAGCAAGAGGCGGTTCAATATTAAAAGGCAGGGGTCAAATTACCATAGCAAAAAGCATGGGGGTAAAAATACCATGGCTCAACTAGGGGGTTGCCATATCTTATCTAACATATTTTAATTTTGATAAGGATATTTACTGAAGTATATTACATTTGTGCTAGAAAAAGCAGATTTATATTCTATGATTGCTTTTAAAAAACACTTCTTTTTTAAAAGTCAGATAAATTTTCCATGGTAGGGGGAGTCAAAATATCAATGCAGAGGCAGATCCATGATTTTCAACAAAAAAGGGGTGTCAGTAAAAAAGGCAGGATAAGATAACGTATTATGGTATCATTTCTAACTTATTTTATTAATCCTGGATTATATTTTAGCATAACTATAACTAGATTCAGTTTAAATGCTACAATAATTTGAAGTTTTAACACCTAAAGATTGAGGGCTAAATTTTCCATAGTAAGAAGAAAGGAGGAAAATTGTTATGACTTAGTAAAAGCATTCTCTTATCTTTCCAAATATGTTTTTTCATTCCAGATACGTATTATATTTAAAATAGTAAAGTGAAAAGTGTAATGAAAATTCCACATAAGGGTCAAATTAAAAAGTTTGTCCAATATTGCTGCATTAGTTAGCCAAATCATCAAGATACCTTTTATTTGACAACAGATGATAAATGTATTGTGATTGTAATCTGTAATTTCTTTAAGCTTGAAGTTTGGTTATATGTTGGTGAGCAATACAGGCGCCTTGGTACCCCTTTTTTTTAGTTAATTAGCAATTTATCCTATCAATCGCTGCATGAGAGTATATTTTTTTTGATTAATTTGTTTGTGAATTACATTATTTTCATGCTATTCGAATATTTTACTGCACTGTCACTGACCCATAAAAAGTTGAAAATGACAAACGAAGTTTTTAAAAATAAGCTATGCTTGTTCTTACTTTATCATTGTGTTTTATGGGTCAGATAGTCTCACACTAGATAAAAGTCTGAAGGTGTGTAGAATGTAAATTGCCTGTTTACCAGTTTATAGAAACTTTAGAAAAACAATTACTGGAAAAAACCCAAAACATTGACATAAATTGGTAAATAAAAAGTAACCAAAGAAAAATTAAAGCTTTTTAAAATAAAATGATTATACCTCTGCTTTTTGAAAGGGGTCATATAGTGATAGAATATTGGATTATCTATTCATTCCACTTTTGTATCTTCTACTTCTGAACCACTTTACATCTTTTGTGAAAATTTCACAGAAGTATTTTGCACATGAAGTACGTTTACTCTTCTTATTGCATTTCTCCATCCAAACGATTTTTGGGGTTTACTTTGGCATGACCTGGAACTTGTCATATCTGAATATAACAGTACGGCATTGAATAAGCTTCTCCTTTTAAACCGCCAATTAGAATTTAAAGAATCTTTCTTAAAATGTTCACCGTATAATGCCAATGCAAATCAAGGACTTTGCAAAAGGCTTGTATGTAAAATTTTGCGAGCTTTGCTTTATATACTTTTATTTTTACTGAATACCCGTTTCCATGCAATCATTTAACTCAAAAGACAATAAGATTATATTTGAGATGAAGGATTTTGCATTTGTCATTTTTATTGACATGATTGAGGAGAAAAATTCAAGTTGGAAATTTCAACATTTAACAGTTCACCCCAAAATTTTAAAACTATGTGCATTGATCAATTTTGAAAATACAGTAATGGATAATTTTTCATACATTTTGTTTTATAAAAATATGAATAAAAGGTGATATGGGATATATGTCAGTCAGACAGCAACCCAAATACCAACGAAAGAAAAAAAAAGGTGATATGGGATATATGTCAGTGAGACAGCAACCCAAATACCAACGAAAGAACAGAAAATGAAAAGAATTTTACTTTTCAGAACATTGATATATGAAACTGAGTAATGATTTTACCATCAACTTTCATGACTAAATGAGGAATGGTGTGTACCATAATGCATGTCCTTATTACTAATTTTATTTTACTCTGACAGCACACACTCCTGTTAAAGCTTGAAAATCTGGCTGAATGCCAATACATAACCAAAGGTAACGATAAGTACTCTATTGAGGATCTGACGGACAGTGACTTCAAGTTTGCGGATACTTTTAATTTTTATACGCCCGTTTACGGGACGTATTATAGTATACTGTTGTCCGTCCGTCCGTTCGTCCGTCAGCGTCTGTCTGTCTGTCCGTCCGTCGTCAATATGTCGGACAATAACTCAAAATCGCTTTAAACAATTTGCATGAAACTTTGGTGAATTGTTTATATCTATTGACGTGAGCTCCCTTTCGTT